AAAGGTTCTTCTGACCCCAAAGGCCCAGCCACATTTCCAGGTCAATTTATACCTTAGGTCTTACCCAAAAGAGCAGGGCTGTGCCAATCCTTTAGAATTTCAAATCTTAAGATTTATTAAAGAAAGAAAGGTTGAGAGTAGAATTGTTAAAGAAATTACATGACATACACCAGTCACAAAGTTCCTGGTGCAGGTCTGTAGCAAAGAAGGAATAATCTGCTATCTTAAAAAGTCTCTGGAATACAGCCTTTGTTAGAATGGGGCATAAGGCCTTCTGGGCCCTTTGTTCATAGCAAAGATGCTCCTGAAGTGATGAGCTGGAGCCAAGACAAATGGACAAATCTTGCTTATGTGGGGGGAATTCCATTGTTCTCATTGTGTGAAAGTACCTCCCTGAAATGGAATTTGTCACGTGAACAAGTCACCTGTCCATGTCCTTTTAGTCAAGTCGCCATTGGCTGTCTGTTCGTCTGCGTGTTCACGGGGAGATTCCTTAGATATGGATTCCACCCATAAGGCCTGTTGTTTGTTAAATAGTTCTATTCACTTGAGTAGCCACCCTTCATAACAGGTGGATGATGCCTGTAGATCTCTCCTGTTGGTGCTTGGTTCCGTAAAATGGCAGAGGTCCCAGAGGCTTAAGGCCAAATACCCAGTGAAAATACCGAATGATGGCAAGACAACAAGTTTTATCAAAGAAGGAATGATTTATTAAACTGGACAACTTAAATGAGCAACTACCTAATATTTGCCACACAACAATTTTTTAAAACCTTACCTAAGTTACAGCTAAGTCAAATATATACACATTTAAAAAAAACCTGTTTCCTTAACACTGATAATAGCAAGGGTAAAAGTTACAACAGAGCAATATATTTTCTAACTTGTCTCTTTTGAACAACTTAACAACAGTTAGGGTAGATTAAATACTTACAAACTCAGCAACAACAACACAAAGACACACTGAGGAATGGGAGCATGCTCAAGAGGAATGGGAGCATGCTCAAGATTCGTACACCCCCCTTTTTAGATTTGGTGGGTGGGAGGCAGCCTTTGGGTGATCAGTCCTAAGCTAGACTCAGATTCTGTCTTCCAATATTCCGGAGTCCTCCTCGAGCTAAGGGCTGAGAGGTTTTTATGTTCTTGCCTATTACCATATTTGGTGTTGTTTGTGCTCTGGGAGTGGCAAGGGTGTGGTGTGATGCCCATATATGGTGTTGAGTGCTGGACTCTGACAAGCTCCATTTTATTGATAGATAAGCCTTGTTGCTATCCATGTGACTGGTGAGGTTGCTGAGGTAGATCTCGGCTATACGCGGGAGGCCTGGCCAAGAGAACCCATACTTGACATCTCCCAAAAGCACATACTTGAAACACCAATACATAGCCAATACTTACAACTTTAAATAAAAAAAATTATATATGCATATGAATAGTATAAACAGAATCAGCAAAACAAGAAACTTTCAAATACATACCTTGCTTGGTCCACTTTGTACAAAATTTGGGGCAAACACAACAATGGGTGCAACAATAATCTGCATGTTCATCTCAAAATCCAATAGTGTCACAGCCCTTCCACCTGGGAGGCAGTAAGGGATGTAGACTCTGCCTGGGCAGCTTTTACCTCTGGCAGCTCAAAGTCCTGGTCAGCAGCGCAGCCAGGCTAAGGCAGGTCCTTGCCTGCCTTGATCCCACACGGCTCCTGGAATCAGTCAGCATGTTCCCATGCCCCTGCAGCCCGAAGGCAAAGGTTCCTAGTCAACAGGAGCTAGAGAAGCAGAGCTGGGGGCAGGGACAGCTTACATAGCTTCCATGGCAATCACTCTGCTAAAGAGCTGGAGAGAAATGCCAGCTGCTTTCGGGAGCAGTATGTGGAGCCACATTAGGCAAGGAGCATGTCTTAGCCCCCGCTGCGCTGCCGACTCGATTTTTAACAGCCCTATCAGCTGTGCTGATCAGAACTCAAGCAGCAGAATCAGAGGACGCCCCACGGGTTAGTTGTCCTAGCTCCAGTGGACAACCAATGAGCACAGGCTATTGGGTTT